GTGGCACCCTATCCTCGTCCAAATGTTTGGCCAAAATACACGTACACTCGAATCGTCAGCCAGCACAAACCCAAAAGCGCTTCTCGCATCTCTCTGACGCTCTATCTATTAATTAACCGATGCTTCGGCAACTGGCGGTTTTGTATGATTCGGTGAGGAGTGTGGAGGTGCATCAGGAGGAACGAATAACGAGTGGGAGAAATCTCTGTCTCTATCAATGGTATGAGCTTGGGGTATTATTTCGTTACATTGCACACGTACTAACCCAACTAGCAAAGGATCGTTTTATCACAAACTTCCGGACCGGTGAGTACGTCTGTAACCGGCCAATGGAAACTCCAGTGCGTTTGAACGGTCAGCACTGCCTCTGTTTAGCCAGCTGTATACTTGCAATAATGCGCATATGTGTTGCCTTGATGTTGTGCTATCTTTGAGATGCTACTTCATGATCAGACTTTTTTTTTAAACTTATTTCGGTTTTTACCTTTGCCCAATTTGATCGCCGGATCGCTCTTTGCTGCCAAACGCCTAATAGCGGTTTCTCAACTATCTCCATTTTTCATTTTTTGGATTGAATATTTATTGGAAAGTCTCTTCGTACTAAGAAATTTTGTACGTCGCGAGATCGTGAGGGAAGGAAGGAGTTTTCACTTTTCGCTATAAATTTAGTCGTCAAATGCTTTCTGCACGTTTCGGTAATTGATCGGGATAATGTCGGTGAAAAAAATTATAGGAGTTGTTGGCACTTGAGAATATTTATTGAGGGGCGGTTACAGGGGAAATGGGGATTTATCTTCGGTTATTTAAACAATTTATATCGTAATCCTTTTAGTTGTAATATTTTTGGAAATTTTTGGTATCGGAATATCTCGACTGGTTATATTTTTCGGCCTAATATTTTCGCTAATATTTTTCTAATGCATTTGCATTACAATATTTTTAATATTTTTCTGGAATATTATTATAGAATAATATTTAGAGTGGTCACCGAAATTATTGGGGTCGGTTGAAAGTATGATTCAGCAAATTGAGGTGGCAGGATTGGACGGGCTTTCACCGGTTGATGCCTATCCACTGCCTCTCACTCTTTCTTCTTCTCTTCATTACTCCCACTCTCGCAAGGTCGTTACTCATCCTCGAGGTACTCCAGGGTCAATGACCTCGAGACCTCAGGGAAATTCTCGTCGTTTTGTTTATTTAATAAAAAATTGACGCTTCGCGCTACAGACCCATCATACCATAATTTTACAAATTCTACAACAATCTCTAATTGTCTCATTTAAATCGATTCATTCGATTTTTTAGTACGAATTGATCAGTCAGCGAGTATCGATTAATCGGAATCAAATAGGGGAAAATCCGTAATATTACGTGATGGGTAAAAATGACGTGTAATTTATTTCAATTTTTTTTTTCTGCGATATTGACTCATAAACATTATTACATTTACATTCGTCTCAACCTGATTTTTTGACCTACATCCCGAAATATATTCTGCCGAGTTGTAATCCTCACGTGCGAATTTATTTCAGGGAAAAAAGTCACATTAATCCGTGAAAGTCGAACACATCGTCGAGTTTAAAAAAATATACGGCCACTTCCAGGTGGGTCAAGCTCGTTTATGGAGTCGTGCGGAAAGATGGGAATGTCCGAAAAAAAAAATTTACACAGCGTACTTACGGGATTTACTCTGGCGAGTGAAATCTATTCGCAAATACTGTCCTCGAAAGGTGTTCGAAGTAGTTGGATAATTATTTGTCAATACTCGGCGTCAAATTTCTAATGGCGTTGAGATTGAATAAGACAATTGACATCAATTTCTCTTTAAATTTATCGACGAGACTCCCTAAAATCGAACCAAAATTTCGCAAAGATAAATTTAGTAATTCCGTAATTTTAGTCATCGATAAATTTTCAATTCCTAAATTACAGTCGGAGGGTATGTAAAAATATTCGGTGGATTCGTGACTAAATTTCCATTCATCCAAACCAAAACAGAAACTCGAGGGATTCAACTTCGATATTTCCATCGTGCACCGAAAATAAAAGGCAAATAAAAAAAAATAATATCTCAAATTAGCCGGAGGTTAATCCCGGAATTTGCAAAGGACCGTCGTTGGCAGCTGGTAAAACTCGCCCGGGGGATGATTATTCAAAACAAATATCCCAGACTGGAAAAAGCGCGGAAAAGAGCAATAAATAAAAATGAATTACAAAAACCCAGTGCTTTTGCACAATCGAATGATACGTAAAATGTTTTAATCGCGCTCGCAGCAAAATGAATTATTTCAACTCGTCTACTCTGTGCCCAATGCACTTGTTTATAAAACAAAATATGGTTTGAAGGCAAAAAGTGGCCAGTTCTCGAGTACCGAGAGTGGAAATAAAAAGAGGATATGAAGGAGGGAATCGAGGGGATAGGGGGGCGAACGGATTTTTTTTTTTATTATTATTTTTAAAGCGGATAAATAAACGAGAAAACCGGTGGGGCGGAGCATCCCCAAATCCGATACACACTCATCGATCAGACTCATCGGCGCGTGATTGCAGAATTTTTTATTATTTTTTAACTTCCATTCTATATTTTCTGTTTAACCTTTTTCGAGTCATTCTTTTTTTCCACGTGCAAATCGTTTGAACAATTATTTTCGTTCGCGTAAACAAAGCGCGAAATTCTTGAAAAGGGGGAATACCCGAAATATCAGCTGTTTCGATACACATTTTTCTGCGTTTTGTCGGTTTTTTTTTGTGGGGGGGAGGAGGGGGACTCGAGCCCCTGCCAAACCGCGGTTCATTGTCAATCAACGCATCGTGGATTTTACGGTGCTCATTCAAGCCCATTGATTAACCGTTGTCTAGTGCGATGCCTGCCCTCCAGGTACTTTGGATCTCAACTGAGAGCAAGTGTTTTCAGATTTTAATTGGATATGAAAGTATGGAGAGGTTTTTATCATCATTTCCGAGATATTCCAACGATTTTTATCCACTCGCTGTTGCGTTTTGATAATTGATAATGTTATCGCCATTTTCAATTGTCATTTTCAAGAGAAATCCATTCATTTCGCGAATGCGTGTCAGCTGAGTAATTCTTTCTGACCATTTCCCCCCTTTTTTTGCTTTTCAATTTCACATTCAATTCAACACATACGACAAGATCTCCATTGACATGCATAAAATTGGTTGACTCGCCATAAAAGAGGTAGACAATATTTTTTAAATATTTGCCAGTAAAACCATCGAGGCTACAAATTATTCACCACCAATTTCACAAATTTTTCTGACCACTCGCATCATCAAAATCAAATGCACAAAAATATTTAAAAATTTCTTACCGATCTCGATTGTGGACCCAGAGTCGGCGTCTGTTGGTTTTCTTCATAACTAAAGACGATTAATTTTCAAACTCTATATGCTCGAGAACCGATAAAACAGTATCGCAGCCCTCCCCCCCTCTCTTCAGCAATAAGTAACCCGGGGATTGAGGAAGCGAAACTGACGAGGAAGTATAACCGGTGACGAGAGGAGAGAGTCTGAGCCCCGGGGTTTTGTGTGGGCGGGCCGACGAAGAGGGTTCGAATGGCAGAGCCAAAACTTTGCAGGCGCTCGTAAACGGGGCACACAGTGCAGCCCCGTTGACGGGGTTTTACGGCGCTATTTCATGATAAAGGGGGGGGTGCGGGGGCCCTTAAGGACGGGGTAATTAAACGCGTCGGGCCGTAATATGAGCCTGTCGTATATCCTTCTTTGTCACTTGGCTTTATTTCCACAGGGTTTTAAAGCTCATACCACCCAACCACCCACCTTTCTCCCCCTCTCACCCTCCTGCCACCCCATCAGCCCCTATGCAACCCCATTTGACGTCTGGACCAGGCTCCACTGACATTCGTTGCCATTGCGATTAAACGATAAAGTTATATCACCTTTTACCTCTGACTTTTTTCAACTTCTTTTTTTTTTATTATTATTCTTCATCTTTTTTATAATAAAATCCCAGGTTGAAGTTATCGGGGATATCGATGGGTGGAATATTTCTTTTCAAGTCGAACCTGATGCGCGTCTTTTGTATGAAGTAGTGGAGGCACTCGATAAGTCAGACGAAGCGACTTGAGTGGCGGGAAATTCAACTTTATCGGGTGGAAAATGTATACTTTTTTAGGGGGGTGAAAGGGAGGGGGGAAAATGAAGGGGGGAGATTGAAAAGGTTTTGGACAGTGTCAGTTGTCGACTGGGTTCACCTGAGGGGGTGGACCGGGGTGAGAGGGAGGAATTTCAGGAGATTGGATTTGGGAAAGTGGTTGAGGTACCAGAAGGGGAAGTCGGTGGCTTTTTTCCCCTCTTCTCCCTCTGCAGACTCAACTGATTACCTTCTTCACTGATGGATTCCATCCGGTTGCACGTCCGTACGTTCTTTATCTTGGGGCGGGGGAGAGAATGAAAATTGTTTGGGTTTTATTTTTCTGTCGTTTTTTTTTTTTTGTTTTCATTGGGGTTGTCGTTGGCCGACGGAGGAGGGAAGAGGGTCGTGCGGTTTATGGGCATTTTGGATAAACGGCGGGAGTTGGCGTTGGGGACATTACGGATAAAGGTGATTCGAGGGCTCGTTTCAACTTCTGTGTTGAGATATCTCGCTGTACCACCTGAGACTTCGATAAATGGGGGGAATAAAAAGAGTTATCGACATGCTTGGGATTTTACTATGGGATGAGGAGATTTATTTCGGTAATTAATCATTGATTAATGCTCCTTCAGGTTGGGACTTTAGTCTAGATGCTAATGGAAATATATGAACGGCGAGAAATGTTTGATTGAAATTAATTTAAATATCTTGGCACATGTTTCTCAGTTGAGGATAATCGTGGATAATCTCCAATCCGAAATTTATCGAGACAGAAAAGATTTCATTGAATTATATATCTTGAAGATTTTCCATTAAAAAAATTTCAGTAAACATTTCGTTTAAGCCATTTCCTTCCATTTTCTCATCGTTTATTTTACATGAGTTAAACTGATTAATGCAATTTATTTTCTTATAATTAAAACAATCTGAGATGAAAATTGACAATGATTCACTGGAAGACAAATACCCCTGAGAAATTATATTCCAGATGAAATGGCAGGTACCACTTTGAATTCTTCTCAATTTAAATTTGAAATTGCAACTGGCATAGAGCTCCATTCCCGCTGTGTACACCAGATATATATATTTTTTTTTTCACCCTCGACTTCTCTTTCTGGTTTTTGTACGCGAGAGGTGCATCCCCTATGCGGGGGCACATCCATACTCGCCGAGGCACGCCAGGGGCCACGTCAGGAACTTGATAAAAGTTAGACGGCTCGGAATTAAATTTTCTAGGTATTCCGGATTGAATTAGTTTTGGATTATCTGCTCGAGGGCTATATCAATTCGTTGTGATTCACCCCACTCACTCCTTTTTTGTTGAGATAGATATTTTTTTAAGCGAGCCCATCGTTAATGGATTCTGTCAGCAACTGTTGTACATTTCTGGTTTGTTTCTGGTTTGTTTCGGCTTTTTATTCTAGCGCTCATTTCAGGAACGGAGAGTTAATTCGCATTGGTCAGCAATATCTGTATTCCCATGGGTGAAAATTTCCTCATGTTAGGCCCTCGCCAGTGCCACTGGCAAAATTATTAATTAATATTCTTTAAAGATTCTTCTATAAATATTTCTGCAATGCTCGATACTCGAGTGATTTTTATACACTAGGAAATAATTGACATTTCATCAATATTTTATCACTCGGAAAATTTTACGGTGACAGCACGAGAATTTTCCTCTGGTTTCTGGGAATCTTCAATTGATCGATTTATCTCGGCAATCGATTGAATCCATCACAATCGAATTTTCCACACAAATTGTTGTAGATTACGTAGAATTTTCAACGATAGACTGCAAGTCATACATCTGTTCATCACGTTGCCAAAATAAAGGGGGTAACGAGGAAAAAGAAATTGCAAGTCCCTGAAACTCTTCACCGGGAGCTCATCAACTATTAAGAACCCAGGGTGGTTGAATGGCTCTGGCAGCAATGAAAATCTGCCCCGATAGAAATAAGGGAGAGCTCATCATGTCTTTTTTGCCAGTAAATTCTCTCATTTTTTTTTTCTTTTGCAAGTAGTAAAACTCTTTATTCCCCTCTGCTAGTTAAAGCCCCTCGCAGAAGCATCGGTTGATTTTTATTCTACTCGTTGGAGTGAGTGAGGGACCTCTTCATTTCCTCTTGACGAAGATATTTTCGAGGAGCTCCTTGGTGATGACTCGGTGTGGTCGTGTTGGGCTCTCTGTTGGCCGCTGATACAGTCTACTATTGATGGCATACAATTTCGGACTCAATTCACATCTGACGTTGAACCACCAGTCGCATACAAATACAGCTTGACTGAATTGTGTACCGTTGGGGCATAAAAATGTCGCCTGTCTTCCGTCTATATCACAGTAGTGCCACCCTTGACAGCGGGTTTCAACGTCAGCGAAGAAACCCGGGTACTCTTGTTCGTCGCAGTAGAAATTTGTGTAGGGTACCCTACCCAGCACTGGGTAATCGGTTCCTGGGCGACCTGCAAAGGTCAATATCATTTTAGAAAATTCCCTCTCAAAATTTTCTAACCAAATGGTTAAATCGGACGAGTAATTTTTTTTCAACACCTTTTTTTACCCAATATTCCAATTTTTTGCATTAACATTTATTTTATAAATTTTACAAATTATTGAATATTCCCCTTCGCGTTGTCATTGTCGTTGTAAAAAATTAGCCAGAACGGTAAATTCCGAGATTAGAGTGAAAATTCAAATGAATGAGGGCATTCCCGCTCGCGCGATTTTCTCTCAAACCCTCAAATATCACTCCTATTATATTATTTATATTATAAAAAAATAAAAATCCTCGACTCATCTAAATCGGAGCATTCAATCAGATAAAATAAAGCGACTTCTGCAAAATAACTCCGGCCGACCATCTCAACAGCAGAATAAATTTCACTTTATTTATTCTCAACTATAGCGAACAGGCAATTATAACGGAGGAACGATGAAAAAAGAAAGGAAAAAAAAAAATTCAATAAAAGAATCAACTCTTATTTCCCCCGTCCAAAACACCCCTTTGATGTTGAGCATGAAAAATACTGCATTACTCCTTTTACCATTGGCACATCGTTGAAGTCGTTATAGTACCTCCGTAAAAGGTGCACTCCGGAGTAAGAATAGAGAGATCTCCAGGCGAATGGAAAATAACGGACAAAAAATGATAAGAAAAGGTGGAGAGAGGTCGAATGAGTGCGAAGGTAGTGATGAGGGGGTGAAGGAGACCCGGAGGTAAACAGACAAGAGGAAGAGGTGGATAACGGAGGGGGTTGGACCTGGGGGTTGAAATCGAGCGCTAATTTACGAACGTTTACTCATTTATTCCGGCTCGGGGGCTACGCTCGGATACACTCGGAGGGTAGAAACGATATTCAGACGGACTTGAGATCATCCCCAGGCATTTTTCAAACCCCCACCCTATGCGCCACCCCATTCCACCCATTCCACCCGCTTTCACCCCCTTCCGTTTTTTATTTTATCATCCCGCGGCGGGATATACCGTCGTTTCATCAGACACTGCGAGTCTCACGGAATTGGCCGAATAGACGAAGAAGAATACCAGAGTGGATTATCAAAAGAATGACAGGGAAAAATTGTTGGGAAATTGTCGAGTTTATTGTTTTTCATTTTTTTTTACATTCCATTGGCCAGTTGTGAATAATCGGTGATTTTTTTTTTTACAAGTTTTCAAGATAAATTATCAGAGGGGATTGAGGAAATAGATGAGTGGGGCCTCGGGAATTTGTTTGTGATTTCTTTGGGAAAGAAATTGTTGCTCTTGTTCGTGAGCTTGTGTGTAATTAGCTGTCGAGTTACGAGGATAACACGATCGCTAATTTCAAGTTTTCGTTTGGGTGGCTGAAGTTGCGAGGGGATTTCTCTGGAGGCGTTACTCTGTGGCGTGCGTGTCGTCGAATTGCAGCTTTCATAAGCACAAAGGCTTCTTAGAGTCGCCTTCCGAGGAGGTGGGGTGGTTGCCCCCTTTACTTCATGACTCGGTAGTCTACTCGATGCGGTGGTGGAAGCATCAAAGTACTCCATAAGCTGGTACTCCATCGCCGTCGATAAGTCTCTAGTACATGCACCCATAATAAGTGGCAAAAATTGAGGGGGAAAAAATAATTCAACGATCTAGATGAAATGCCTGTCGGAAAAACTCACTGTCGGCTCCTCCACTCAATTTCCGTAAAAATTCTTCAATATTTCAAAAGAAAAACATCTTATTCATCTGATTTTTCAATTCCATAAATTCCAGAAATTTTTGAAGCTCCAAAAATTCTCAAACTGATCTAGATTTTCTTCCCATAAAATAAAAATAACCCAACCGGATTTTCCATAATGCTGAAGACGTGCTATTCAATGAATCCCGTGTTAATTATTCAGAATTCTCGAGAAATTTGTAAAATCTTGGCACGCACACCTGTCGTACCCCGAAACTCCGATCAAGTCACGGGATTTTCACGAGACTGTCTAAACAACTTGGTCGGTATCCCCCGGTTGATCCAGTGGATCCAACACCCTGGATATATCTCCATCCCGTCGACAGTCAGGATGACAGGCATAGTTTTGCCACCTTGGGTTATATCCCAACTACGCAACACCCACACGTCCCAACCAAAACCCCTTCTGATTCTCAACGTTCTTGTCACGTAGGATAAACACATACCCTTTTCCCCACCTCAATTTCCGGTCCATGAAAACCGCGACACAGTTGGCAAACTCGTAGGTTCCCAAGGCATCCATACGGAATGGTCACCGTCCGTCCGAGATCATCCTCAAAACCATCATCGAAAGCAATGTCACCTGAATACCAAGACATTATTCAATATCCACCAAAATCTCCAAACTCTCCCCCACCCGATCACTCAATTTCGTTTCTTCAACCCATATGGGTAATTACACTATTTTAATTGAATACTTATCCTCTCTCTCTTCATTATCGATGATAATTTAATCTCTCCCACATCTCCCCAAAATCATTACTGCCCCTCCTCCATAATCCAATTCCCACAAACAATGCGCCTCATCATTACAACACCCTCTCCCATTTAATTTCAACTGACGACTAAAATCTGATTGAACTTCGCAAATAATTTTCAAAATCCCACTCTTCCGAAAAAAGTGGAACCCAAATTTTCAGTTATTTTCCGTTATTCAATTTTTCTCCTTGTAGTTTCTCCGCAAAAATTTCAATTGCAAATCTGTTTAATTAATATAAAAAAAAAAGCAGTAGTGTCTAGTACTTATACTGTCTTCTAGTCCGAGTATCGCAGATGAAAATCTATCTTGCAGTTTGGCGAAATGAAGGACAAAGTCCCTGGATATTGCCATCTCACTCGGTCTTTTACGTTTTCAGTTGAAGTCATAGTCATAAAGTCAGCCGAGCGGACGGGTCTCTTCCAACCCGCCATCGGTGTTGGCTCGTACGTCTCGTCCTCTACCTCCATCACCTCCATCCATCCAATCCCCTTTCTATCCCTGTCCCTGGGACGTTTTGTGTGCATAAAACCACGGGATGAGGGGTTGAGGGGACCCGGAGATCAAATCCTCTGAATGAGTGACGGCCAGGGTGAAGAGGATAGAAGGGTTATCGCTCAAATGAGGCCTTACGTGAACAATTGAGTTCAAAAGAAATTTTCGGCAATTTTTTTAGTGACGGGGGGGGGGGGG